TGGGAAGAGTTTCATTCCTGTCGTGAGATTAGTTAGATCACCGAGACGCGAAGCGTCGAGGTTAGCTATGATCTCGAGACAGGAATGAAACTTCCTACTGAGGTTTGTATACTATTTTATTTACAACCATCATATTTCGATCAAAGTTAATAAATCTCTGTTTTGTTCTGAACATACCTAAAATATTACATTTAACGACAAATTACCAAGCGCGCGGTTTTCTCAGAATAATCAAGTAGGTAAATATATTGTTACTGTGATTACGGGGTAAAAAACTGTCACCAATATAAATAAATGTCAGATAAAGCCGGATATTAAATTCGCAAATAATAAATATCAATAAGTAGTTTGTTATATTTTAGAACATTGTTGTTTTTTATTGTTTGTCATTAAATAGGTATTATAAAATTTGTCAAACACTGTATTATTTTTTTTTAAATATAAAAAATATTCATCTAGAATAGATGAAATGAGGGCGGGAAGTAGAGGTGTGTAATGTGACACTTCCCAACCTTCAATGACGTTAGTAATGACAACATTATATATATGGTTGTAAATAAAATAAATAAAACGACACGAACCAAATAAACTTACATCTTTTACTGTTAACTATTATTAAAAATACAGTACTTTTTGATCGAGATAACGTTTCTCAAAAATCAAAAGCTCTAAATTATTTCTGGTACAAATACTTTGAGAGTTAGTTGAACTAATATTTATCACATGGAGTCAAGGGAAATTATGGTAGATATTTGTACCTCAGATGTCAAATACAAATAAAGTATAATCATTATAACGTATGGTACATATATGTACCAGCACCCGTTAAATGGTAAAAGAAAATAAAGTTAGGTTATCTTTATCGTATTGAAATTTTAACGAATTTCTTGAATAATTATATTAAAATTACAGTACTTTTTGGTCGAGATACCCCCGTTTCTCAAAAATCAAAAGCTGGTACAAATACATACCACATTTTGACAGTTAGTTAAACTAATATTTATCAGATCTAAGTGAAATCCTGGTAAATACTTATACCTTAGATGTTAAATATAAGTCTATGATCATAATAACACACTGTACACATATATACCAGCAGCCCTTAAATGTAAAAACAAATAAAGTTAGGTTATTTTCATTGTATTGGAATTTGATTGAAATTTTATTTTCTTTCATATTTATGCCAAAATATTTTTGAAATAAAATAATTTGTACCAAGTGTTCGCATTTCTATGTCGTTTAATATATTTTAACTGTCAAAGGACGAGCCAAAATATTTGAATTAAAATTAACACCTTCAAAATGATCCTCCCTTTACGATTTTTGTGAAAAACAAAATTCTCTCTTGATCGAAATATGAAGGAAAAAGGATCTAGTACTTGTAAAAAAAGAGTGATTTCCTCACTCTTAACGACCATGTGGGTAAATTGGAGAAGCAATTTTCGTGTTTAAAATTGCTGTTAATATTAATAGTTTAAGAACAGATCGCAAAAATCAAAGGACAGATTAATTTAAGTTGAATTAAAAAAAAAATGTCCGGTTTTCGGCAGACGTCAAAATAACAAGAAACTTTGAATTAGTATAAACACAGGCAACCCTAGTTATTGCCAACTCAAACAATAACTAGGGTTGCCTTTAATTGCACTCATTCCAAAAATATACCACACAAGTTTGTTATTATTTTGACGCCTGCGTAAAACCAGAGCAAACTGTCGTTGGTCTGGTGTTTTTTTCTTCAATTCAGCCAATAATTACCCGCTCCTTCGATTTTTGACGGATCTCTCAGTCTATAATAAGTACTGGTGAAAATTTGAAGTGTACACAAATATGGTGCAGTCATTTTGTGATCATAGTAGGGAAGCTAGAAGAAACGTGTCCCATAACATAGCAGATACAATTTTGGAGTGGTTTTTGGGGAAAATTTTGGATACTATATGAGAGTTGATCCCTATACTTAGCCCCCTGACCTAAATAAAATTATAGGGTACTTTTAAGACTATTTTTAAATATTGTCGGATCAAATCATATATTAACTTCTTGTTTTATAAATTTGTATGTTTATATACAGAGTGGGCAAATAGTCTGGTGACGGCTTCGTTTATTTTTATTTTTTTTATTTAAAATTTGTAGGGAGTTATAGAAGCCAGGACCTAAGGATTTTTCTGAAAATTGTATGGTTTGACCATTCTGGGGTGAAACCATTACAAAATTGGCGCCCAACGTGGGGCAAAATTTTGACATTTGGCAACGATAGGGTTGGCGGAAATCTGACGACAAAGATTGATAAGATAATTTTTCTCCTTAAGGTATTACACTAATCCTTGTGTGCGATTGAGGTATGTTTGGTGTAATATTGGGATCATTTTGAGAATGTTGGGGAATGTATTTAGGTAGTAGTAATAAATAAAATAGAACAAAACCATAAATAAAGTAAATATGTGAAATTGAGAAGTGGTACGAAGATGAAAAATACAGAACAGATAGGTCGAGGTTAAGAGGTTTAGATTTGAGTAGAAGTTAAGGAAGAAAAAAGAACAAAGGAGTTTGAAAAAGAAATCGATGTAATGACATGTATCAGATATTAATGATGAAAATAAAAGAAGATAAACAAGAAATGAGAGCAAGATAAGGAAGAATATGAAAAAAAAAAAAAAAAAAATAGATGAGATGATATAGAAGTTAGAGTTGTTTCAGAAGATGGACAAAATAAAGAAAATTGGAAAATTAAACATTGAAAATAAAGAAAAAGAAAATAAAAAAATAAAAATAAATATACAAGATATATAAAGATTAAATTATAAGATATAAAAATAGAAATTAAAGAAAAAGAAGTCAAGAAGAAAGATAGATGATAAAAAATATTAAAAGAGAATTAGGTAACAGTAAAGGACAAAAATTGAAGAGTTAAAGAAAAAAGGGAGAAGAAAACACCATCAAGAAGAAGAAACGTAAAGTCATTAAAAAACAATAAAATTGGGATAAACAAATACAGGATGAAAGAAAAAAAAAAGCATGTAAGAATAAAAATGAGATTAAAATACAATTAAAGCAGGAATGAAGGGATTATAGAAGGAAAAATATAATAGGTAGGGGAATGATTGCTTGAAAATAACTAATGCCCCCATTATTTGACTAAAAAGGAGAGTCCGAACAAAAGTAAAAGATACAAATTGTATTAAAATAGTTTGTTAGTTTAATTGAAATAAAATAAAGATTTTAATATAATGTGTAGCAAAAAATTTGTATCATATGGAAAACTTTTTTCTTGTTTATTTATGAGAAAATTATACCCTTGATGAAAGGTGCAGGATCTTAAACCAATTAAAAACTTCATAAATATTAAAATTTATATATCATATGAGGAAGGTAAAAAAAACTACGAATTTGGCTCAAGAGTATTTTTTAAAATAGTAAAAAAATTTAGTTGAAAAAATTATTTAGGATTAATATTTATCAACAAATATGAAATCACAGCAAACTAGATCAATTTTTCTTTTCTTCTTTGTATTAACTGTATTAACAATGACGTGTTTTCTTCATGCATGCCTTCTGCAACACACTATACTATTTGCAGGTCATAAAAAAGTAAAAATCTTTTAAAATACAATCTTGAAAATAGTTGGCCTGGGTTATTAAATATTAAAAATTAAACAATATACAGCAAGTTGCATTTAAAAAACCAAAGTGAGCAAGATTCTCGGAAAAAATTAGTCTGGCAACAATGTAAATAAATAAATTATTAAACCTCAAATTTTGTACAAAAACAAACTATTGTCAATAATTTTGATGTAAATATTTCGAATTTTTACGATTTTAATATACAGTGTGTAGCAAAAAGTAAGCATCATAGGAAAAAAAAATATTGTTGATGTTTGAGAATTTAATTCTTGATAAAAGTTGGTGCATTGACTAAACCCCAATAAAAACTTCATATAATTTATGTATCATATACGAGGAAGATAAAAAAGTATGAATTTGGTTCAAAAGTAGAATACTTTTATTTTTAAAATATAGAAAAATCTTACTTGAAAATAACAGAAACCAAATGTAAATTGACAACTAACCTTTGTTTTTACTTATTGTCTTACAGAACTGATACCTAAACGATTGTTTAATTCACTTTTTTTAGACCTAAAACCAATGAAAACTAACCATTTAATCTAAAAACTCAACTAGTCAATTGTCAACTTTGTGCCTCATTTTTACGTCACCACTAATGCTCTTGAAATTTCAAAATTGAATTGTATATAGTCCAGGAACAGATTATTTTAGGTTCAATTAAAAAAAAATATAGGTTATTAATTTCTTGTCAACAGATTAACCATGGTTTGCTAACAACAAATTTCAGTGCTACATTTTTGGAGTGTGAAAACAAAGGCAACCCTAGTCATTATTAAAGAGGGGCCTGTCAAGTTTAACAATAACTAGGGTTGCTTTTATTTGCACTCAATCCAAAAATGTACCATCGAAGTTTGCTGATTTTGACGTCTACGTAAAGTCAGAGCAAACCATAATTTACCTGGCATTTAGCAATTAATTTTCTACAATTTTTTCTTCAATTCAACCTATAATAATCCGTCTCGTCGTATTTTTGCAGTCCTAATAAGTTTTATCTGATGAAATATCAACAAAATCAGTCGGGGATAAGTAATAGAGATCAACCCACGTATTGAGAGCTTGGCAAGCCAATAAACAGTGCACTGTTAACCAGTGAATACGACTGGTAACAAAACTGGCAACATTAGCATTTTTTTTGCGAAAATATCCAGTAAAGAAAGGCTAGAAGAAAATTTACAGTGCCCTGTCAACCGTATTGTAGAACAGACAGCACAGGAGTGTGAGGATAGAAATATTCCGATTCGGACGCCAAATAAAGGTGGTATACAAATTAGCATAAATTATTGTACTAAATTGTTTTGTTTATTTGTAATCACTAACCTGAATTTTGCCTGAAAGAAAACAAAAAGGAAGATAAAGTCAGAAAGTAGACAGCAACCTACCTGCAGTGGGAAATCTTACTGGTCAAATTTAATGCCTATGGTGACTATGGTGATGGTGCCGGCCTAAAAAAAATTAATAAAATGAAAATATAAGCTAAAAATATTCACAAAATTTTAATTTTACCTGATTCTCGATGTCTTCTACTGCGATCTTTCTCCTTATCTTTGTCTTTCTCTCGATGGGATTCTCTATCTCTATGAGATTCTCTTTCCCTTCTCTCGCACCTATCTCCAGTCTTTACTTTCTTCTCTCGCACTTTTCTATCCCTTTCTCGCTCTCTGTCTTTGTCCTTTTCTTTCTCCCTGAAAAAAACATTTTACGAAAGTGTAATAATTAAAATTCATGATAAAATTTTTCACAAATGAAATATTTATACCTGTGTTCCGATCGAGATCGCTCGATGTCCCTTTCTTTTCTGGTCTCTTTGTCTCTGTCGCGTTCACGTTTGTCGTCTGTAACTGATCCTCCTCGGCCATATTGTTTTTCTTTAACGGCTTTAACGTGATCGCTAACTTCGTCAACGGCTGCTTTCAGACGAGCAAATCTGAGCGAATCAAAATGAAAATAAGAATTTAAATAATTTGGTACGAATAAATATTTACATACCCCATGTGCTGTTTGCCCATTAGATGATCATCAATGCGTTGCTGAGCGTCTCCGACGATCAAAAAAGCCCCACAGACCTCGCAAACTTCCATTTGCTTTTCTTGGGCTGCAGCGAGTTCTGCTGTTGCACTATAGTGACTGAAATGAAAAAATACAAAGTTTCACTTACGATAATAATAATAATAATAATAATAATAAAAAAAAATAGATGAAATGTACAAAAAAAAAACGATTTAAAATACAATTTTAGTACCTGTTAAATAAATAAAATCATTAGGGAACAAGATCTATAAATATATTTTTTAGGTCTTTTAAGTCACATGTTTCCACAGATAAAAATTAATCTATCAAAATAGCAAAAAAATGTTGATTAAAAAATGCTCATGAAAAACAAGTAAATAAAAAAAAATGTATGTGAAAACATGTGGATAACAAAATATATATGTAAAAAATTAAATAAAATGTGGATGAAAAAAAAAAAAAATACTTAAAAGTTGACATAATTCCTGACATAACGTTGATAATATGTAGATAAAAAATGTTAATAGAAAAATTTCGATGAGAAAAATAATAAAAAAAAATTTATGGATGAAAAAGTTGTGAATGGAAAAAAAATGTAAACGAAAAAATATCGATAGGCCAAAAAATGAATGAAAAAATGTAAGAAAAAAATTGTACTGGGCGAAAAAAAATTGTACTGGGCAAAAAAAAATATTGATGAGAAAAATAATGAAAAATGTAGATGAGAAACAATAAAAAATGTCGTTGACAAATATGCTTAAAACAAAGTTGATAAAATATTGTTGAATAAAAAAAATGTTATTGAAAAACATGTAGATGAGAAATATAAGAAAAAAAAGTGTTGACCTAACGATAATGAATTAAATGTAGAAGAGGAAAATAATCTAAAAATTATGATGGATGACAAAAAAAATAAGTTTAAAAAATGTTGAGGCGTAAACCACTCCCGAAATACAGGTACGTTTTCACTCGAAATCACTACAAATTCTCTCGAAATTTCCGAAATTATCACAAAAATCACTTCAAAATCAATTTGTTGTTCAGAACTATAAACACAGCATCTTGTGGATCAAAATAAAAAAAAAGTCATTTGAAGACAATTTATATGGAAATTATATGAAATTTTATACAACGCTTTCGCCGAAATCGTACAAAACTAAGGGAGATTTCGACGAATTTATCGAAATCATATAAAATTAAGGGTAATTTCGCCGAAATCATACGAATTTTAGGTGATTGACCTCAAAAAATGTAGAAGAAAAATGTCCAGTAATGTCCAAAAAAATAAAAAAAAGTTAATTTAAATTAATAAAATGTAGATGAAAAATGATTAATAAATAGCACTGAAAAAATTTTTATGGGCTAAAAAAAAAATCTGATGTGTCCAACACATGACTTTCCTATCTAGTTATTACAGGCTTTTTCCGTTTATTGTGTACAACCTATTGCAGCATCTCTATAAATGTTTAGAGGATAAACTAAATATATACATTGTCCACATACATCTACCGCGAAACATTTTTCTATAGATATTCATTGAAAATGAAAATACTGAAAAATTTAAATTTAGCACTTTTCCTACAATTTTTCCATTACGGTCCATTTAAAAAAAATCATGTATGAACAAATATTATAGAGATCGATATCGCAAACAACTTTTATTTCAACAATTTTCATAAAAATCAGAATTTTGCACATTTTGTCAAATTTCTCGAATACGGACCATTTCAGGAAATTTTTACATAGAGCAAAAATTATAGATAATAATATTAGAAGTAACTTTTATTTGAACAATTTTTTTCTCCAAACATAAATAACAGATATAGGGGTCTATTCTGTAACAATTCCTTTATATTTAACGGCATTTAAAAATATTTTCTTCTTTACTTCTGTCATTATTTAAACGGATCTTTAAAATACATTAGAGGACTACCTTAAAGAAATCTGTTTAAATAATGGCAGAAGTAAATTAACGAATACGAACATATTTTTATAGGCCGCCAATATTTTTAAAGGCCGTTAAATATAAAGGAATTGTTACAGAATAGACCCCAATTTCCATAAAATATAAAAACGGCCTCCCATAAAGTACCCCCCCCCCCCCCCCCCCAGATGTTCCGACTTGGACCAAAGTCTAATCATTTCACGTCAGGCCGAAATAAAACTTAAGTTTAAAATTTATTGATTTTTTCTTTATCCGTTTTTGAGTTTTCTTCAAATTTCGAAATTTACACATTTTCTCAAATATCTCGAATACGGTCCATTTTAGAGAAATTATTTATGGGACAAAAATTATAGAGAATTATATTACAAACAACTTTTGTTTGAACAAATTTTATAAAAAAATATTTTTTTACATTTTGTCAAATTTCTCGAATACGGACCATTTTAGGAAAGTTTTGTATAGAACAAAAATTATAGATAATAATATAAGAAGTAACTTTTATTTGAAGAATTTTCTTCCCCAAACGTAAATAACAGATATATTCCATAAAATATAAAAATGACCTATAAAGTACCCCCCCAGATGTTCCGACTCTGCCCAAAATCTAATCAGCTCATTGGACGCAGGAACAAAGCTTAAGTTTAAAATTTGGTGTTTTTCTGTGTATGGGTTCATGAGTTATGCAACACACAGACACACGTAAAAATCCGCCGAAAACTCGAGGTCGAAAAAAATCATGATTCCTATACTTTCCTTATATCTGCATGCAGATAGGAAAGTAAAAATGTCAATGAAACAAAAAAAAAAAAAAAAATGTATATGGGGAAAATAATGTAAAATATTGATAAAACATGTCAGTAGCTAAAAAAAAAAAAAAAAAAAAAAAAAAAAAAAAAAAAAAAAATTTGAAATAAAATGCAAGAGGACAAAATTTTGAATAAAAAATGTTGATGGCTAAAAATAATAAAAAAGTTAAAAATAATGAAAAAAATAAGAAAAATGTAGATGAGACTCCTTGTTTTTAACATTCTTTGTAATTTTGTATTTTTTCACATACGTAATCAGGGGCGGTTTCTCCATTGGTTCATTTGTGCAGTGAACACCCAGTTACATTTCATAAAAACATATTATTTTAAAATAATAACATACAAATATTAATTCAATTTTAATAATTTTATTGTTTTTATACGTGTTAATATCTATTTTTGGGTGCGCCACTGCACTCTGGCGCGCTTTTATAAGTGAACCCGCGGGAGTGAGAAGCGTTCTTGAAAATCTTTAGCTAAAAAGAGATGTCACACCATAATAGATCCCTGAATTGTAGTGAAACAATGATAAAATAACTTAAATCAGCCTAATTAGCGCAACGCACACCGTGACGTCACAAAGTAGGCGGGGCCATACCAATCTTTCCAATCATAGATATAGAGAAGCAATGACGGTACTAAACGTCTCACTTTTGTATTACTCTTTTAAGACATATGTCAAACTCGAGCCAGTCAGTTTTGGTGATAATAAATGCCCTTTATTTAAAATGGCGTCATTCCGTCAATTTACAAATATAAAATTATTAACTGAAAATGAATCAAAATATGACGCAAAGTGCCTCCACTTGTCATATCACAAAATAGTCATTATTTTGTTATCTACCTACTTCATATTCTATCTTCTCAAGGTTTAAAATCGAGCTGTTAAATTCTAGAAATCAACAAGACACAATTTTAATTGTGTATTGTATTTAAAATTAAGTTTAAATAACACTGCGACTCTAATAAATCGGAAGTATGTGTGTTAATTCAATGATTGTCACCGAAAATCGTCAGAAGTAAAAAAAATTACTATTATTTTTGGGGTTATGTGTACTTCCAAATTATAGTTTATTTTGTTTTTTGTTTCAGAGTCTACAGATAATACCCAATAATATATACAGAATATAACCAATTATGCATTGAACAAATTTTTTTGTTTCCAACAAAAGACAGAGGAAGTTTTAAAAAAGTATAACAATTTTATTATTTTATTTTCTCACCAAGTTGAAAGTTACTACTGGTTAAACTATAGGGCTATTGTTTGTTAATATGTCAAGTAAACTTACATGTAACTTTACTCAGAGATGAAAATATTGACCCTTAAACAAGGATAATTTCTTGACTATATGAATAATTGTTTATTTTGTAGGTTGTCCCTTAAAGTTATAGAAAAATGCCCTATCTATAAATTCCAGAGGTACTGATAAACACTGTCAGACTTACATTAAAATATATAAAATATAAATATTGGATTGGCCTAAATTAATTCAAGAAACTTAATAGTTTTGTCTATGTTAGGTACGTACACCTATATCATGAAGATTGAATTAAATAGGTAGCAATATCTATCTGGGAGGTAAACTATGTAGACGTAGTGCAGTGTTGTAAAGGTTATATTTTTAAAATCAGCTCATCGAGACCTTTTCAGTGGTATTCTATATCATGTATAGTGATTTCACAATATAAGTTGATTTAAAAAAAAGATAATGCTATGTTCAATGTTTAATAAACTTACAAGTTAAATGTTAAACAACACTATTGATTCTGAAAATGATTGGAAATGGGGGTTAAGAAGGTCTGTTAAGCTGTGAAAATTATAATTTAGAATGCCATGCATTATATATCATTCTAGTTTGTGTCTGTATAATATTATGTATTGTGATGGGACTGATTTTATAAAATATACATTTTAGTTCACTTGTTTTTTGCCAATAAAGAGTATTTAAAAAATATATTATTTTAACATGTGTGACAAATAGTGAAAATGATTAAATTTACAATAAAAACTGAAAAAATGGTAGGTAAAGTTTCATGTAATAATATTTTTTACACAAAAATCAATGTCAATTTAAAAATAATCTCAAAATATGAAGAAAAGTCAGTTGACTAATAATATTTATAGATGATTTTCAACATATTAAAAACAAAACAAATATTACAAATAACTAAAATATTCATTTATTCATTCATTAATAGTTGCAGTGCTTGAAAACAGTATGATATTGATAATACTAACTACACTTGTACAAGATTTTGAACTGAACTTACAAATGATAAAATTATTGGAAAAAGTGAACACCCATTTTAAATTACCACGAGCCACCACTGTACGAAATTATTGTCATAAGGTTATAATAAACAAAATAAATAAATGTTGACAAAAAAAATGTTTATTAGAAAAATTATGAAAAAAATTCCAAAAAAAGTTGACAATAAGATGAATAAAACAGTCAAAAAAATGTTGGCGAAATTAGTTTTCATTCCTATTCAAATATATAATTGATATACAGCAAATTTACATCAAATGGGTATGAAAGACATAACACAAGGTAAGCCAAAAAAACCTTGATATGAAGGTTTTGGATATTAATATCATGATATTAAAAAAACGCTCAGACAGGTCATTTTTAGTTTGGATTGGGACAGTTTTTTTTCTTATTGCAGCATCGTCACTTCGAACCTAGAACAGTGAGGTTTAAATAGGGAGAGTGCCATAGATGACACATCATTGAAAAGGTAATTTTGTAATAAGACTAATTATTGCCTTACTTTTGATTTTAGCACCATCTAGCTTGATAAAAAACTGTTATGTATTGTAAAGTGACACATAATTTGAACGCCAATTTTATCACTAATTCAATGCACATTAATCTAAATACCTCCTCATTGTGCTTGAATCAGTCTGAAAATTATTCATTGTTCGCATTATTGCTAACTTTATTTTGTTGCAAGGGCAATAAGTTATGTAGTGCTCCGAATTAATAATAAAATTAGCTTTCATATAAATTGTAACATTAAACAATACGCAAGTTTTTGTTAAGCCAAATAAATCAAAAGTAATGCAATTTCAAATTACCTTTTCAAGGATATGTAATCAATGGCACTTTCTTATTTATATTGTAGGGATTGTTCACTCCACTGCTTGAAGATTGAAATGACGATGTGGCAATAAGAAAAAAAAAGTCCCGCTCTAAACTAAAATTGTCCTGTCTGAGCTTTTTTTAACATCCACGAAAAGAAGCAGCTCTTGGTGACATCAACTACATTAAATCTGTAGGCTGGCTCATAAGCTATATCAGAGAGAGATAGAGAGAGAGAGAGAGAGAGAGAGAGAGAGAGAGAGAGAGAGAGAGAGAGAGAGAGAGAGAGAGAGAAAATATATGTTTATTGTCCAAGTTAAAATACTTATTGACAAACACAATATTGTACAAATTACAAATAAATAGTCATACAAACACAATATTGTACAAATAGTATACAAATTACAAATAAATAAATAGTCATCAGCTTAGGATGATGCAAAATTGGCCTAATGAGGCCTAAGTGCCATAGGTTAACCCACCCTCTACATGTTACAGATACAGATAAATCCAGGATATTAATTCCTAAAACTGCATGTCAAGTTTTTGTTGGACCACCTTGTATATTATAGTTAGTAGTGACTGGTAATGTGGGAAGAAATAGGGAAAATTTTATGTGCCAAATCAATGTTAAGTCTGTTAATCAAATAAGAATTGGAAATTTTAAAGTTTTTTTATTATTATTTATAGTCTGTGCAGTAAAAGTGGGGAATAAAGTCACATTCTATAGGCGTACTTTGCAAAATAAGTTTGATATTCATATTTTTGGGCTAATACGTCTATGTATATACCAATTTTGGTCTTAATATCTCGACCTGAACTGCCCTAGCCCCAAGAGTTGAACCCCAACCAAAATTTTTGTTAAATTTTATTTGGGTTAGTTGTTTTTATTTTTTTAAAGTTTTATTTTAATAATGAATTAATATTTAATATAATATAATTCTATGCTAAACATTTATTTATTTGTATATTAGGCTTGCTTACCTAATAAAGATTCCTTCTGTAAGGTTAGAACAAACCTTATTAATTAATAATAGGTACTTACACATTTTCAATTTGTTTCCTCAGACCATCTCTTTCATCTTTAAGTTGATCACACAGCTTCATAAGACCCTGAGCCTGTTCCACATTACCATCAGTCCCAGCTTGTTCAGCTTCAGCCTCCAAGTCATTGATTCTTTCATTCAACATATTAATCTGTTCCTGGTTCTTTTGGGTTTGAACAGGAGATATACTCGGCATATCAGTTTTGCCGCTCGCGCTAAGTGCTAATCGCTGTTTACCCTTGATAATTTTCTTTTCTACATCGTTCATCATCGAGTTACAGAATCGTAGAAAATCTTCTTGGTACTGAAGTTTCCTGTGGTAGGTGGATTTAGCTTTTTGAAATAATTTTCTGACTTCTTCGTCGTGCACTTTACAACAAGCGCCGAGATCTACTCGAGTATTTACAAATAAGTCGTGGGGACAGAACTTAGCCAAAAAGTATTTACAGTACTAAAAAGAACAATATATAATATACGTTTAGATTATCTAAAAAATTACTTACTTCCGGATCTTCCCAATTCAGTTCTTTGACCTTTTCATTTGGAGCCACATTTCGGTTCCTACCCATCAACTCATCTAAGAGTTGAGCAGCCGCTAAGACAGCCATTTCATTTAAAAACACTATACTATTTATTTATTGAAAAATAACTGGGTAAGCTGTTACTGGAAATTGCTAGAGTTTTAGAAAAGAAATACGGCAGTATATTAGTTCGTTGCGTTTTAACACTTTATCCTTTCTTCGATTAAAGTAGAACCTCAAACATGCAAACGGTATACACTGTCTGTCATTAGTGTCATTGTCAGATGAGATGAGTCAAGACCAGTGTTGCCAACGCGTTATCAATAGGTCTTTTCCTTTGCATCGAAAGTGTAGCACTGAGCTACACCGCTTCTGAAAATATCGTTCCATTTATACAAATTGTATGGATGGAACGATATATTCAGAAGTGACGTAGCTCAGTGCTACACTGTGCATGCAAAGGAAAAGACCTATTGATAAGTGAGGGCGACTTTTTTTATCACAAAAAATACAGCTCGATATTTTCAGAACATGTTTTTAAAAATGGGTTCAGAGTACAGTAAAGAATAGTGGAAAGTCTATAGTTTGTTTTACTTTTAATGTATAATATTTTAATAAGTGATATTTAACAAATATTGCTGCGTTTGAAAATCCACATCGGATGCATTTTTTACATCTCGAGCGTTTTTTTATCCACATCGGACACATCTGTCTCATTACATTTACGTATACTGAATCACGTGATCAAAGATTTTTTACATCTCAGATGCATCCGATGTGGATTCTCAAACGCGGCATATGTAAAAGTTATGGCCTTTCCACCATTTTTTATAGTATTTAAAAGCTAAAACGCAAAATACACCCATTTATTTTTGCCTTACTTATTTCAGGATACTTGTATTAAGATTTAAAAATCTACTGGCGCAAATTTGCAACCGTGCTTATTTGAGACATACGTTTTATTAAACTTATCGTGTTACGTATTTGTTGACATTAGAAGATAGAAATTTAAAGTGACGTCTTGTATTACTTCGAATGAACAATCGTTTTTAATCTAAGAAAAAAGTTGGGTCTTAAAAATAACATTTAAGGGTACCAATCTTTTTTTTCACATGGTAACAAGTTATAAAAGTATCTAATTAAAAAAAAAAAGACTTCAAAATCATGTAGATGCCCTTAAAAATGAAGATTATTGACTTTCTCATAGATCATCAGATCTTGACCAATTGTATACGGAAGTATCCCTGAGGTAAATTGGTTTTATTCGGGTAACCATAATGACAAAAAAGTTCTGTATAGTTATTAAATATTTCAATTAATTCTTACTCGCCCCCAAATTAAGACTCACGAAGCGCCTAAATAAATTACCAAATATATTTTTTTAATTTAAACGGTAGCAGATATATTAGATTTTTTCGAAATTTATGGCCCCACTTTAGGCTTTCGTAACTCCTTAGGGGTACAACTTGGTATAGAAGTAAATTGCGTTAAATAATCGGTACTCATTCGGAACACCATGTATATTAAAATACTCCAATAAAAGTAAATTTTATGCTAAACGTTTAATTATTAATTACCGTACCTTTGCGTACGGTAATGCATTTAACCGTATTTTGGCGGTACGCTAATTACCGTACGGTTGGAAACACTGGTCGTCACATTTGACATTCGTGACATACAGGTGCGATCGTTTATTCGAGATAGTTTACACTTTTTATTCTCATATCAACGGGGTAAGAATGTAGTTATAAAAATATGAGTTGTTGTTTTTCTATTTCTTTAAAGGTCAATGTCCTTCAGGACAATTCACTGTAGCGTACTAGTATTAAACAAATAAAAAATATTTATTCAATTTGAATTAATTAAGTTCATGAACACGGCATAATCTGAAATTAGATCGCAGGCGCCACCTAATAAACTCGTCGGAACCACTTATTTATATGTACATTACATACATTAGGTCTTTTCCTTTGCATCGAAAGTGTAACACTGAGCTACACCACTTAGGACCGATTCCACCGTTGTGTTAAACGAAGTTTAAAATTACATTTTTACATTAACAACGTCACCGTTTAACACAACGGTGGAATCGGTCCTTATAAAAATATCGTTCCATCCATACAATTATTTGTATAAATAGAACAATATTTTCAGAAGTGGTGTAGCTCAGTGCTACACTTTCGATGCAAAAGAAAATATCTAATATATTAACTTTCCAATATATGACTTTAGAACAGTATAGATAAACGATACTATTGGATAGACAGAGATAAAACAATACATGCTATGCCACTACCGGCAGAGGTGTGACAATGCGTCCAATCAAGGATCGCTGACCGCTTTGCTATTTTTATATGCCTCTCACAACCAAATATAATTAAGGCCCGTATTTATAAACAAAACTCAGCTGAGTCGGACTTGGGTAAGTCGTCCTTGAACAAAAATCGAAGTTCGGTTATATCGCGTGAATTTAGAGATGGGTAGTAACAAATCCGTAAATGAACAAAACAGTTACAGATTCGCTAATAGCCATCTCTAAATTCCAGTGTAACACCGGAACCACCTCGAACGATAGAGACGTTGTAACTGAACTTCGATTTTAGTTCAAGGACGACTTACCCAAGTCCGACTCACATAAGTTCGGACTTGGGTAAGTCGTCCTTGAACGAAAATCGAAGTTCGGTTATATAGCGTGAATTTAGAGATGGGTAGTAACAAATCCGTAAATGTACATAACAGTTACAGATTTGCTATTATCCATCTCTAAATTCTAGTTTAACACCAGAACCACCTAGAACTTTAGAGACGTTGTAACCGAACTTCGATTTTATTTCAAGGACGACTTACCCAAGTCCGACTCACGTAAGTTCTATTTATAAATACGGGCCTAAGCGTCTCATCTTTATATTGCTTGATGTGATGGTTAACGCACTATCTATTATATACATCAGCATATTGCCAATAAAATATAATTCACTTTTAACACTAACAAGTGGCTCGCGCCGGTTATAATGAGCATGCCCGTTTTTAGAACCTACCGCGTTGATCGTTAAACATTAAGCAGAGTCGGCTTTCAATGAGACAATAAAACAACTCCAAATCAATCCCACATAATTTTAAGTTTATTTTCTATGTTGAAATGATTTCTTGCTTTTAGTTAATTTGGAGTTTTGATTTTCTGAAATTGAATAAATTCATTATTTTGTGACTATTGATTTAAACCGTAAAATTATATAACATACTATTTCCAAAAAATAGAGCGTGTAAAAAATGAGTAATTTTTTACTAATTGCATTTGGATACGCACCTGTGGGCGACAGGCTGTCAGATATCACCTGGTTCGATTTTGTTGATTGGCTTTGTGCTTCCAGTTTAATATACAGGGTGATTCATAACTATTGGGACATAGGCTAAGGGCAGGTTATTTGTACAAAAATATGATGACAGGGCCAAATATACCTTAATAAAATATTGCTGTGTTGAATTTTTTTTTTCGTTTTTTTTTATGTCACTGTATATTAATGAATTGTTATCAAACTCGGCACAGAGACATATCTTTGGACAGGGGATAATATTTTATGTATAAATACATGCGATTGTACGGTTCCGCCGATAGCAATTTAAAATTACTTATTCTATGAAACGACATTGGCAGGTAAACATTACTGGGAAATTCTCGGAGCCGCCCGACGTGGTTTGACGTTTACCCCCTCTCTACCTACCAAAAGCATTTCCAACTTTTACTTTCTCTATACCAGAGTTACAAAAAAGCTCCATTTTTTGCTTATGCTTCATATTACCTCTAAAGATTGCACATTTCTGCCATTATTTTTATCAGGTCAGCAGGATTTTTTAGTGTTTCACTGTGGGTATTTTAGTGGTACATTATTAAAGTTTGTCGGTTCGTAAGAATACCCGAAAATGTAAAACTCTTACCATTGGCAACACTCTATTACCGTAAATACACTAACGAACCTAGCGGACTTTTATCCGTAACTCTGATCTATTTCAGCGGTTTTCTTGTTTTTAAATGAGAGCTGGTTTAACTCATTGTATACCGTGGTTTAAGTTCGATAATTCCCATATGTAATAAAACAAAGGGGTTGCGTAAATTTGATAATAAAACAACAGCGACAAGTATAATATAATTTATTGTAAAATATGATATGTAAGATCAGCGAATATTTATTTGCTTCAAATTTATTAAGTAGTTTTGTATGAAATATCCCAAATATATCTATATCTATTCATTGGTATCTTTGATTCAAAGTCGATCGTTTTTATAAGCTTTAAAACAAATAGAAGAGTCAGTCATTCATTTTGACAAGTGGACAAGAAGTACTTATATAGTAAGTAAATGCCAAAATAAAAAATATTAAAAGATGCCTAAAGCCTTATAAAATGACATTTTCGTGTAGATACTTTTCCACTTTTGACACAAGACGGATTTTTTTTTTAAGTATTTATAAACCACACGTGGCTGAGTGCTTCCTTGAACGAAAATCGATTAATTTCAGGTACCATCACGGGAATTTAGAGATGAACAGTAACAAATGGACTGTACGTGTAAGAATTTGTTATCGTCCGTTTAAGTAGTAGGGTTGCCACCTGTCTTTTTTTGAAGCAAAATGTCGTTGTGACTTTTTAAAGCTTAAAATGTCCTTTTTTACGGCAAATGTCATTTGTACAAAAATATATGAGCTGAGGACTTTTTTGAAACTCGGTAGAAGGACGATGATTTTTTCTTCTTACAAGCTAGGCGACTTTTTTTTAGATGTTCAGTGGAAGGATGATGACTTTTTGTATACCGGAGCTCCTGTCAGCATCGTAATCCTTTATTCACTTTTCAAAAAGGTGGCAACCCTATTAAATACTCAAATAGGCAATAATGGATAAGCAGTAAAGGAATGGGTGAAAAATGTCATTTGTCATTAAGCCCACAATTATGTAAGAATTTTAAACATCTGATAGGTATAGGTATTACATATAGAGTAACGATTCAAAGTGTGATTAAAAAACACGTTATCGGCCAGCTCTATTTTTTCTGAAGTGACGTTGATGTTTATGTCTTTAAGGATTTACAGGCAGGCATGTATTTAAAAATGCTTTAGAAATACAAATGTAAGTATATAGAGGTTCTTAAGCAATTGTATATAGACATATACTAGATTTTTGATATCAAAATATTACGAATTGAACAAATTTGCCTTAATAAACTGTTGATAATAAGACAAATAAATGTGTAATTTTAAATTTAATTTTTTGCTTTTTGTATTCGCGTGT